ATGCTAGAATTTATTCAGCATGTTATAGTGGAGAGGTCTGGGGGGACTCATGGGCTGAAATGTCCCCCTGGCTTGGCTCTTGACCCTATAGCTGTACTTAAATAATCAGATCATCAACTTCCTCATCAATAGAAAGAGGGATTATGATACTACCTCTATCACAAATTGTTGTTATAATGGAATAAAGTTATCCAGGGAGATCATTTAGCAGGTTGGTAAACATTTCACTTGTTAGTTCCTTTCTATTCTATCATCCATCATTATATAGGGCAGACAAAATAGGGATATAGTCATGCTATTCTAATAGTATTGTATGGTAGCAGATGGTGGCTACGCTTATGAGCCTAGCATAAGATAGAAAATTGTTGAATCACTATATTGTACACCTGAAACTAATGTAACACTGTGTGTCAGCTATACTAAAATAAGTAAGTAAATAGAAGTATTTTCTAGAACAGACAAAATATAAGCCTTTTTAGAACAGCAAAGAAGAGTAACATGTTGTCAGTTAACCACCTAGTTTGTATAAAAGAGTTTTAAAATTCACTTGCTTTCCCTCTCTTCCTTTTCTTCTTGTCTGTCTCTTTTTTTGACTTCCCACTCATGAACTAACTGCTGCTTGAAAATAGTGAGCTGAGATTGAATCACTCTTTCCATACTCTAAATCTAAAAGGCAAAATGAGGCAAAATCCCAAATCTAACTCCCATTTAAAACAATTTCTGAGGTTCACAGAGAAGCTACAGAGCATTCAAAGCAGGATCTCAGTAAGTTGTGACAGTGCAACAACTACTTACTAACTGGATGCCTCTGAAAGAGGTCTATTTCTAGTCCACAGCCAAGGGTACAATGTGAACAAATCCATGAGATATGCAGTATTGTGCTCAATGAATACTATGAGATTTATGAATTCTTTACCATTATGCAGTAGATTATTTTCTGCTAGTGGAAAAATAATTCTTATACAAGCGGAATATTATTTTTAAAGTATTTATGGAATTAAATCATACTTTCAACATTCAGTTGAGTTCCTACTATGTATAAGACATTTCACTAGAAATTGCAGAGGATTTAAAAAAGATTCAGATACCGATCATGGTTTTAAGGTGGTTACAACATAGTAACAGATATGATAACTTTTAATTATAATGCTGAGTAAGTCATTTTAAAAGTTTCTAATAATGTGCTTTGAAAATTCAGAGAAGAACATGATCACTTCAGCTTGGGGTTAAGGAAGAGTAGAGGTTTCAAAAAATGTTAGCATTTTAGATGTCCATTGAAGTATAGAAGACAGAAAAAGAAATAGAATAAAGAAAGGACATTCAGTCAAAAGAACAGCCTAAGCCATGAACTGGAGGCCAGAGAAGAGGTTGTATGTATTAACAATGAATGGCAAAGAAATCCAGTATGCATGAGACTTAAAGGTAGAATATAAGTTTTGACTATATCATTAAGGCCATTGAATACCAAACTATTATTTGCTTCTTTCACATGTGTTCATGAATACAACAATTTTACATGCTGTTGTAATTGTAGAATATAATCCCAATCTTGTGTGTCTGTGTGTGTGTGTGTGTGTGTGTGTGTGTGTGTGTGTGTGTATTGGTAGAAGAGATAAGGAGAACCTACATGTCCATTTCTCTGGATAGCATCACGTTTTTCTTTTCAATGAAACAGACTCTCAAGTTTTTTATTTATATCAAAATCTAATAGTCACAAGTCCCACTTTATTCCCACACATGAGAGAAGAGGAGGGTGTTAAGATCTTCTTGTGGTTTGATAAATGTTAGAAGTATTAGTTGATAACCTTTCTAAAAGAGAAATGTCAATTTATTACTACAAAATAAAGTGTCACCTACTTAGGGCAGCTTCTCTATGTTACAGACATTTAAACTTTTCAGGGCATTGCAACATTCTCAGAAGATATAATAAGAATGCTTTGTTGAAATAACACTTTCAAGGACAGTTTTAATAATAGAAAATAAAAGGATTATATGTTTCCCCCAACCTGAATAAGAAAGTAAGATTTGTGAAGTCTTAATTCATTAGTTGAGCAGAACTGAATCTGCATTTCTACAATTGCAGGTAAACGCAGACATTCTTCTTAATCTATGGATATTTCTTTTACTAGCAGTTGGGGCAACCTTTTATTTCTAAGGTTAAGTTTTGGAATTTTCTTGGTTAGCACTGAAGAGAGGCGTGAGTAAGGCAGATCTAAGGTGCCCAAAATGTACAATGTAAAAAGGGAAATCTGTATTCAAATTATTAATAAGAAGGATTGTTTATCACATTGCAAGCCATAATGATGAATATGGCTATCTTGAGTTTAACCTGAGTAGACCCATGCAATGTGAATTTAAAAGACTTACAGATTTAGTTCACCCTTACTTTATAACATTAATTGATGATAACTCTGTCATTTAAAAGAAGACTTTAACTTCAGCCCTAACTGGAGAAAATTGTATTTACTGTCTGAATAATGTGTGTGCTTCTGAATGAAATTTTCTTTTTCTTCTTTTTAATGATTTTATTTATTTCTGAGAGACAGAGACAGCGTGAGCAGGGAAAGGTCAGAGAGAGAGGGAGACACTGAATCTGAAACAGGCTCAGGTCTGAGCTATCAGCACAGAGCCCGATGCGGGGTTTGCACCCACGAACCATGAGATCATGACCTGAGCCGAAGTCAGAAGCTTAACCGACTGAGCCACCCAGGTGCCCCCTGAATTAAATTTTCTTAAACCAAATCTAATTTCTTGGAACATACCAACAAAATGAAAGAATAGGATTGTTAGAATTTTTTTTACCAACACGTACAAATTCACTAACATATAAAATACTATGAGTACTCTAAGCAGCAAAACTAATGCTAATATTTCTTCAACAAGTATCCAAAGGCAGTCATCTCATCAGAATTATAAAGACATAAAAAATGATGAATCTTGCAATATAATCTGTGAAACCATTCATTGCCAAGAGCCTTATAACATATCTTCATTCATTAGAATGAGTTATAATTTTTACTTTATAAAAACACATATCTAAAAAGAAGTAAGCTTTTCTTTGGTGCTTTTATTAAAAAATAGCTTATAGGCTTAATTCATTTCTTAAAGAAATCATGTTTTATTATTCTGCAGTTTGCACTCAGGTCAGCTTTGCATATAGTAATTTTTGTAGGAAGATGATTACATCTAGGAAGGATATGCTTAACGAGACATTACAGATCACTTTTTCCAGATTGATCCACCTAAAGGAAAGCAGATTCATATATTACCTTGCCAAGGCTGCTTCTCCAGTGAACTGAAGAAAACAAAATGGAAGTCTAGTTCTGAAATTTGTAGTGCTACAAGTCTGGTATCCAGTGATAGAGCAAGAATTAGACAAATAAGCATTTTTTTAAAGTTTGTCACATGACTAAAGAGGTATAATCAAATTGACCTCAAAATTCAGATTCAACTAATTATGTTTTTATAGAGATTGCTGACTGCTAACTAAAATACATGTTCTAATTTTCCTGGTCACACTGGTAGGCATTTTTTTACCAAGCTTTCTTACGAATAGAAATTGGATATATCTGAATGGAATGAGAGCACAAGTGATACATGCCAGTTATAGACCTGAGAATGAATTAAAACTTCCATGTAAGTGCCTCCATGCCCATGACCCTTTCAGTGACCTGGAAATGAGACTTCATTTTGCTTGAGGAAGTCAGTCTCACCATTCATCTGCTTTTAAGTGAACATAAATAAATTTCTAATGCATTTAACTTATATGATATTTTGGGGTATATTTGTTATAACCATCAGGTTAGATGGTTATAAAAAACAACCATTATAAACATTATAAAAACAAATGTTTATTATAATAATTGGGAAAAATGCTATCCTGATATTGAAAATAGGGAAGCCACACAGTATACGTCCACATTTATTAAAAAGAACAAAAAACAAAATTTATAATAATTATTATAAATACTTATTTATAATAAGTTATAATAATTACACAAAGAGATGGAAGAGAATTTCTTTTGTTTTTTATATTGCATCGTATGGAAAGTCAATCATTAGCATTGTGATTTTCTTTCCTAAGTCTTGTTTATTGTTACTTGACTTGGTTGGTTAGATGAACATGAAATATTAAAATGAGGGTATTAAGATACAGATACTTGTTACTAGAAGCATGAATAAAAGGAGAAGGATTTAAAGGCCATATTTATGGTCAGCATGAATCCATGTAACATACAATAGCAGCATATGGCATGTTAAGAGCCAGCATGAATCCATGTAGCATATAATAGCAGCAAAGAGATGAGTACACAGTGACAAGAAGATAAATTTGAACCAAACAAGGGTTTCTTATGAGGCAAATTACACAGGCACAGACAATGCCTCTGAGGTACATGCATGTGTTTGTGCATGCATGCACTCACACCTGTCCATATGATTAAGCATACATGGTCTGCCAAGAATTAGGAAGATGAAGAAAAAGAAAAAGACCTGGACCCCAGGTGATGAAATTATATGGATAAAGGGTTTGTATGTCACCATCCCTTCAAATATTTAGGGTTACCTAGAGACATGGAAAGGTATTGTTTTTTTAAGCAACATCTAATAGAAGCAGAAAAGAGAGACAGTGTATAAAAGATCATACTGATCTATGAAAATCCACAAAATGTAGAGGAAAGGAGGATGTTGTAAACAGAGAACCAAATAGGACAAAAAGAGAGATACAGAAATGAAAATAAAATATTAGATTTGAAAATTTTTAAAATTTGCATTCAACTGCTAAATCTCTCATTTGTCAGCCATTTAACGTTTTATTTTACCAATCTTAATTCTCATCTGTGAAAAAGGAGTAAGAATTCTTTATGTATTTACCTTGCAGGATTTTAATACAAATAAAATAAGGTAATAGATGTGAAAGAACTTTGCAACATATAACATAGTCCCCAACACATAGTTACTGTAGCATATTCTTTAACATAGTTTTTGATTCTTTTTTTAAGGACATATGTATTGATGATATTTTCCTAACGGAGACCTCAAAAGTAGCACAAAGGTAAGATTAAGTAGGAATGATAGCTTTAGAAAGTCTTATTCTGATATTTTTTTAAAATGAGGGAATGGTGTAAACTGTAATAAATACTTACGTCTCTTTGTGGACAGCCTTATTTCTTGGAAAGTAAAAAATGCAGTCAGGTAAATCAGGCTGGATTTTTGCCAGTGAGCAAGAACACTTGTGATGTAGAAGCACTAGAACATGTGTCCCAAGTTAGGAGAATAAAGATATGTACTGTGTTTGTAAGTACTGAACATATTTGAGTGGGGCAGTGGGAGAAATTGTAAAGCTATGATTGTTTGGGCTAATACTCTTAAAGGAACATTAGCTCAAGAAAGATGGGGATCTTAAAAATTAAAAATATTGACTATAATGAAATAAAATATTTGATGGAGAAGTCAGAAGCATGAACTGGATCATGGTAACTAGACAGGAAGCACTAACTGAACTTAGATTTTTAATAAAAGATCCAGGAAAAATAAAAAAGCTGAAAGGAAGGTCAGTTAACCACAGAGCATCTTGAAGGAATAGCCAGCAGAGGCCAGAATGAGCTGTAATTTAACGAAAGTGCTAAATATAAGAAGTGGGGAATGTTATCTATAATAAAAAGGGTTGGACATGATCCTAGCAAGGTACAGCTATCATGATGTTAATATTTAAAAGCAAGAAGTCAGATACACTGTGACCTAATTTAAATAAAATCTTAAAGAGAAATAAATTCCATCTTCTCTAAGAAGTAGCAAGTAGTTGAAACAGAATCTCTTTAACTCTACATAGGATATTTAAAACCAGTAGAAAAAGTTACCCCAAAGCAGATAAGCAGATATAGACACAATGAAAGCTGAGACATGCTGAAATAACTGAAAATGTTATAGTATAGCTCAGAAGGTAATAAAACTTCCATCTCTACAAGCACTTAAGTAAAGGTTGTATTTTAGTCTCAATATTGTAACTTTAATAATAAAATAGAAGCTTGAGTTAGATTAATTCTAAATTCCCTACCAGTGCTAAGATTCTGCAGTTCTAAGTGAGATTAGGGTCAGCTTATTATAGAGTTGCCAAATCTAACAAATAAAAATACAGGACATCTAGTTAAATTTGAATTTTAGATAGACAGTGAGTAAATTTTTAGTATAAGTAAATTCCAGATATTTTATCTGGCAACATAATATTTTTTTCAATTGAATCTCTTACTCGGTTTTTGCTTTTTTCTGGGGATGTAAGGAAGAGGCAATAAAGAAATTACCATATAGCCCAAAACTGCTCAGAGCCCTGACTTCAGGGGCTTTGCTAATAAAATTATCAAATGCTAGAATCCATAGACTTACAAGATTGAAAGGAAACCCTATGTGACATCTGGACAATTTCTTAATTTTAAGAGCAAAGTGAACAGTTTGGCTTCTCTAAGACAGTATGACACAGAATTATTTGCCATAGTTACTGGTTGCTAAGGAAGTTTATGGCATATCTTTTATTATAAGTGATTGAAAGCCATCTAAAGGTAATCCTCTCTATGTATGTGGGAGTGGAAGGTAGACTTCTCCAGGCACCTTTTAGCTCTGAAAGACTTTTTAAGCCTTACCAAAATTCCCCTCAGGTAAAATCCCTTCACAGTTTTATAGGACTAAGTTTTTCAGCTCATCAATCCCTGAAGTTCTAGTAACTTCACTACAGTTAGTTGTGGGGATAATTTAAGCAAGTCCTATATCCCTCCAATTTCCTTTTCCACAACTTTTCTACAAAATAACCCAAGCATGAGACACTTTGGAAATGTGACAGCCTAGTTTTCAGCCTTTCCTCTATTTAGAAACTCTTGTGGCTAACCTTTGGAGAACTAACTCAAAGTGGGCATCTCTCAAATAGATTTCAGTACTGTAGTTCATTCTTTATTGCTTGAATAATTTATATGAAATAATATTAATGTTACTGGGGGGTGACTCCCTAACTTATAATTAGAGTTGTGTACGTATTTTAAACCTCCAAAATTTTTTATTATGCATGATTTTCTCAAAATTAGCACTTCTATAAAACCAATGTTTATTTGACATTTCTTGAGAGAAGCTGTAGACACTAGTTAAATAAGCAAGTTGTTGTCATATTGAAGGACACCTTCCAAGACATTTCATTACGTAAACCTAATTTTCTTGTCTAGTCTTCTTTAAACTAGTGGACCCGCCCATGTAACAAGTAACCCAAACCACTTAATATTGTGCTGCAGCAATTATTTGGGCTCCTGGGATTCTGCTCTTCACCTAAACACTGGCCCTTTAGACTGACACATCTTCCAATTTTTTATAATCACACGAATGGAAACCACTGCAAACTGAAATCTTATTATAGAGGTACCTTCTATGCTGGTTGTTGTTTATCAGGAGGTCCTCTTAAAGTAAGAAAGAACTATCTTTAGGAAAGGGCCCTTTCTTCTCATGTTAACATTGTGCCTGGAACTTACTTTCTGAGAGGCAGTATATCTCCTCCAAGGTCTAAAGACCTGTGCATGCAAGGGATACATTCAGAGCTTTACGGAAATTTTGCATAAGTCCCTTGATTCTTCCTGGCAGAAGTCCCTGTGCTTTTATGCTAAGAAAACAAGTGGGGAACTTAAAGGCACCAAGAGTAGTAGGTACTTAATTTGGGATCTGGGTTGGTCTTCAGCCTTTTCACATTTACTCATTCTTAATTTACAGTGTCAGTGGGGTGATGAAGATTAGAAAAATCACTAAACTAGACTTGCAAAGTGAATCTAACTTGATATGTGGGAGAACTTTGACTATTAGAGCATTTAAGATCTAATTTGGGTGACTTTGATGCGAAATACTTCATTAAGGTTATGTGATACTATTGGAGTTTGTCAGTTTCTAATGAATCATACTTTCCTTGGCTTCCTGGAATCTAGAATGGGAGTAATTTATTTTCAGAATATCATAAAAATATTTGGTTCAAGTAATATAGAAGTGATTTCAAGGACATCTTCTCTGGGTCAGTGTAGACCCTTCATAAGATTCTTGTTTAAACATCTGAGGGTGAAAGTTTTAGGCAATCTGATGAGGATCTGGAATATTCTTAACAAAGTAGTTTCCATCCTAAAGGATCCCTGATCTATCAAGGACACAATAGAGATTCTTACTACAGAGATTGAAACCTACTTTTGGAAGATCTTAGGATCTTTGTAATAATAACTGAACTATTTGGGGGATTTAAGATGCTCTTTGCCTCTGTACCCGTATGGACTTTATTATCGCATTTCACTGGTATACACTAAAGGCAGAATTGAAAACAGCTGTTAATTTTAATGCCGTCTTTTCTTGTAGTGTATAGTAAAGAATTGGGTGGATACTAGTAAGCATCTTTGAATACAAGCTGGAAACTCAGTTAGGAGGATCAGCAGATAGAGAGATCCCCTGGTCTTTCAGCATCCTGTGGAAAGGAATGCTTGGATGAGAGTGCAACTGTATGTTCCAAGGGTTTGGATTCCAGCAGAGACTCTAACACCATTGTTTTCTTTAAATAGGCCAAATGTAAGAACACCCTTGTACGGGAAGAAATGGACAGTGTGGGTTTAGACGCTAGCCGTTTAGTTGAATGTTAGAAAACTAGCTGCCCAGCACTTTGCGATCTTGGGGGACCTTTGGGAGTTTAGTTTGGAAGGAGAGCACTTGGTTCCAGCTAACTAACTGCAAATCTGGAAACAGCTGTCAAGGTTATTCGCTAGCAAGGTTTATTCGATAGACAGTTTAATACATTATGAAGTAAAAGAGACAAATGAGGTCTGAAGGTCAGTCAAGATTCACATACAGTATTTTTTGTGCAAAATAATATTTTGTTAGTATTAATTATAAAATGTCATAAATACTTCCAGTACCTATTTCTACTCAAAACTTGGGTAACTAATTAGTACATAGTATTGGGCTATAGGCATTAGCTAGCTAAGGCTAAAATGAAATACCTTCATGAAATGGACTGAAGTTTACATGAAACTCCACTCTCACTAAGGAAATTTTGGGAAAAAAATCAGTAAGTCAGAATAGACTAGGGTTTGCAACAAGAATCAACTGTTCTGTCAGTTGATAGACAATATCAAGCACATGCCCAGAGCTCATCCAGTAGTGTTTACCCAGGAGACCCCAGTGTGACTGTTAATATATTGCTTTCCTTGGACAGATTTGTCTCAGGAATAGTACGAGACTAAGCTTGAAAGTGCTAGTATGATAAAGGGAACTAGAATAGGTATGGGCTGAACATAATTAGAACATACTAAAAGGTGGATACCAAAGGCAAGAATATAGTTTGGGGTGAGTTGGATTGTCTTTGTCTGAGATGGCATAGCCTTGAACTGGGATCCTGGTAGTGACAATGAAAAAGGAGCAACAATAAGACAGATACAGCAATAATAAAGTAATGAATTAACCTATATATATAAATTTGAGTTTTGAAAAGAAAGTGACCACATTTTTTGATCAAAAAATGTCATTCAAAATATTGCAAATGTTATATGCATGAATAAAAAGCTTAAGAGTGGTTTTTCAGAGACTATTTAGCTGCCCCCCTCCAAATGAAATAAAACCATACATTTAGTGTACAAACTGTCAGTCATCTGTAGAACCTAGCCTTGGGTCAAGGCTTAATAAACATTTACAAATAAGTTAATAGAATCACAAAGAGGACACTAGGGCAGATAAATTTCTTATTCTTTTCCTGAAATTTCCGTTTCCTGATTGTAAGCAGACATTGTATAAAGATATCCTTAGATTACAGATATAAAAATTACACACAGTATACAACATAAAAGTATACTTGATTTTAAGATGTGTCATTGTCTAAACCAATATATTTTTTGCTGTCTGTTTTAAACCGTATAGAAAAAGGTTTTTGATGGAAAATATACAATAACCTTTATTTCTTTTAGTTACTAAGTGGCAATTCCAGAGAGACTCTCACTTTTCTCATGTTATTTTCAAAATTTCAAGAAGTGTCACCTACATTGGAAACATTTGCTAAAT